TAGGAAATGATGGTACTCTCCAATACCTTTTTGCACTGAGAATGTAAATCATCATGGATCTGTAACTTGTGTGAAAGCCAGTACATTTAGGATTTCTATCAGAAAAGCTGACAAAGATAGTTTAGAGACCCTCCAAATACCTCTTCATATAGTAATGAAGATCTTATCCAGTTTCAGTTGAATGCCTCTAGTCCACTATACACTGTGGACTAAAACCCTGAGAAGATGTACTTTGAATCTTTTTTCTTTTAGAAATATTTTTAAATCTGGTAGTGATGAATTTTCATCCTACTCCAAATTGCTAATTGCTTTTATTTATTTATTAACTCAATTTTTACTCTGTACTAAAAATGTCTTTAATAGGAAGTAAATTCAATCCATGGGGAAGATGGATGGAAAGGATGACTCATCCTGTTGTATCTGAATGCAGCCAAGATTGTCTGATATATGTTCATATTCTGGAACACTCTAGCCTGTGTGCTGCTTGATGTGCCTTTAAATTGAGTAACTTTTCAAATGTTGATACTTAGGATGCTGACCTGCCAGAGGATACATTTAGTAGACAATACTAAATGTGTCTTCTAATTTATTAGAGGATAAGATAATATCAGCAATTTTTATTAAGGTACAAACTAATTGTCTTGAATAAAACATGCCAACAGAATTATGTTTATGTTAAAACGAGTGTGAAAAGCTAGATTTTTTTACTTAAGCTTTGTTTTTTAATTTTTGTCTCCATTAATTGATTTAATTTTTGCCCCCCAATAACACCACCACTTAGCCATGAAGCAATAGACAGCATCCCACTGAACTCAGCAGTACAAAGTTGCAATTAGCTAGTTGACTGGGAGAAGTTACTTTTGTAACTGCCAGGGAAAATTTCTGTTTTCTAAAGCTTTATTATCAATACTATATGTAAAAGATGGAAGGAAGACAGATAATGTTGTGTAAGGTGAGGCATGTTCAAGCTTTGAATTCCCAAAACCACCATGAAAACTCAGTAGCTGATGATAATTAGCAGACAAAACCAAGCCTGAATCTTTGCCTCACTTACCTACTGGCAGTAACTGACAGTTAAGTGCCCAGCTGCTCCTCCTTTTCACTTTTTGATGAACAGGAGGGCATGGGCTTCTGAATTCGAAAGGCCCTAGCAGTACAAATGAGTGAGGGTAACAAAACTGATGCCGTTCAAGTAGGACCAAGGAGCAGGGTATATTTTGAGGACAGCCGAAACAGTCTCCAGAAAGACTGTGGAGTTTCCCCCTTTGGTTGCACTCTACATGTAAAACTCTAGAGTTGATTTGTGGTGTACTAGTTCACTCACATGAGTAGATTTTATCCTGTGTCTGTAGGAGCTACTTTGTTTTTGTGATGCAGTGTTCTTTCCTGGGAGCAACTCAGTTTCTGCACTGATCTAAGCCTGTCCTTCGTAACTGCTTATTTCGGTTGCATTAAGGCATGCAATGCTGGATTTAGCACATATGCATGAAGGTGTTTATGCATAGAATATTCAAATTTACCTATACATGAGCATCTGTCACTTGAAAGCAATCAGTATATAAAAATGCCAGAACAGAGAGATGGCAAATCAAGATCTAACCAAAACTGTTTGAATGTTCAAAGTTTGGTCATGGGCCTGAGTGCCCTGATGTTGTACATTTGCAGAGGAGCAAACTGAACTGTCTGATCTTGTCCAACTTATGTCAGTGTACACAGGCCCTCCAAATAAGGTACAATTTCCTGCAAATTGGTGGGGAAATGGACTGCAGATTTTCTTTTAAAAGACCATCCCCATATCTGCACAGACTGTAATTACATTTTCAGGGCAGGCACTCATGTACTGAGCTTGAAGCTAGCAATGTTTTTAGCTGAAGTAAAAATCTGTTTAACTGAAAAAAACCTCAACCCCAAACCACCAAAACTTCTCAGAAAGGGAAGGAGCGAAAGAAGTCAAAAAGTGACAGTCTGTGTGAACAGAAGAAGAATAAAAAGGAAATGGAGTTTGAGCAAAGACTTGCCAAAGAGAAAGAAGGGATGTTGGAGAAAGAAAAACAACTGAAAATAAATCGTCTCGTGCAAGAGGTATGTTGTGTTCCCCTATTAAGTGCAAAATTATATTGAAAGAAAATGAGCTGGGTCTTTAATGGAATTATCATAGCAGGACACTTGTTTAATCATGTCAGAGGTAATGAGGTTTAAAAAAATTGCTGTTGCACTGCAAAACTGTGTTCTCAAGTTTGCTTGTTTCTACAGACAGTTTTTACCCAAATGAGGATACCTCTGCAGTTAATGAGAGGCCGTGTGTAGTGATGAATTTAGTGGAAGACAGCAGAGTCGGAAGTAATTCTCAAAAGTATAATTAGATTTAAAACTAATTTAAATGGCATTTCATACTTTTGAAACATATTTGTGTTGTAGCTATACCTATAACCTTTTTTCATGCACTGATGTTATGGTAAAGGTATCCGAGACAGAACGAGAAGACCTGGAAGAATCAGAAAAGGTGCAGCACTGGGTGGAAAGACTTTGTCAGACACGGTTAGAACAGATTTCCTCTGTGGAGAACGAGTCTCCTGAGGTAAAATTCTGGCTTGTCCATATATTGCATGATCTCTAAATAACTCACTATTTATCTCCTAGAATCAATAGGTTTTACCAGAGAAAAGTCTGTATTCACCTTTCCCGCTCAGCTTTCATTCTCAGAGGGGGAAAAAAATGTCAGTAATTGATGAATTATAGTCTATAGCATACAAGCTGTTTCTATATTTTATGGAATTAAAAAAAATTATTTTAATTAACTAGTTTTATTTTGTCCATAACAATTTTATTAGCTTGCAAACGGTTTGGGCTAGGTGGGACATGTCTCAGTTTTATCACTGGTACCAAGAATACCCAGCCATATGTTTTAGTATCCTATGCAAATAAAAACATCACTGATGCTTTTGGATGCTTCCTTGTATTGCAAGGAATAAAGGTACAGGTTAAGAAAATGACAAGAAGGTAAGAAACTCCCAAAGAATAGGGTTTGGTTTTGTGGTTTAAATAGTCCCCTTAAATGAATGGAGTTGCAGAAAGTGATTCTGCCTTAGAGCCTGATGGTTCTAGATGTGGAGTGAGGCTTTCCCACCATCCTGCTGCTCTGGCTGTCTTCCAAGCACAGCTGCTTTCAAGAGGAACACTGCAATCTGTTGAACTCCCCTGGGATGCCCAAGAAATTGTAACCACAAAGAGGACCCTTGGGGAACTCTCTCGCATGAATTTCCATCAGGTCCATGTGGAGCAGCTCTGGAAAACAAGACTGGTCTTCTGTTCTTCCTGGCCTTGGGCTCAGATCCATGCAGCTTTTCAGTGCAGGTGTCTAGGACAGTGGAATGGTTATATTGAGTTTTCTCTCACTACCTAAATTTGGCTGCCTGTGTTCTGCTAGATCTTTTCCCCCCTTTCTTCTTTTAAAGAAAGAGGGAACATTACAGCTTAAAATCACTCTTGTGTTTCTAGAGCTCTACCCTGAATGTCCAAAACCTCCTGGGGATCTGAATTTCATATCAACCTCAACCTTTTGTTTTGTGATAGCTGCTTAAGCTTAAGTAAAGTATATTTACACCAGACTTTAGCCCCTTTCCCTATTTTAATGGCATGGAGTTTCAGGGCCTGCCTTCAATTACTTTCCTTTTATATAATCACCTTTGCAAGGAGCAATTCTTGCTTTCTCTTCGTCAGAGTGAGAGAGGCAAGAGTTGTTATCTGTGGTTTGTCCTATGATTTTACCTTCTGGAGTCACCATGCAGTTGGATTGGGGTGGAGGGTAGGGGT